CGACTCTGATATTATTTGGAGGTCATCTGCCAAGTGGTATGGTAAAATTTAATTTACACAGTATGGTTTTATCTTCAGAATTTTTATTTAATATTTTTTAACATTGACAGTAATTCAGATGCTCAATGCCCTAAATATATAGTTAAATAATTTCAGACAAAGGCATAAGTGTTTTCTGTTTAATTCACTGTTTATATATCCAAAATATGGCAAAATAACTGAATTCCTGCATTAGGCATTGCATCATTTTCTACTGTCAATGCAGATACTCCAGTCAGCTCAAATCAAGTCACTCACTCACTATGAACAATGTCTAGTATATAATATATGAAAACACCAATGTTTAATAATTTTTGTTAAAAGCTAATTTGCTTGGTTTTTTTTCCCTGTTACTTCTCAAGAACAAATTCTCCAAAATGCACACAACCCAAAAACTGGTTGAGATGACACTTGCGCAGCACCATAGCTTTAAATGGACCTATGGTGTGCTGAGCTAATGCAATGTCAACCAGACATTAAAAAAGTTATTTTGATTGTCAGTCAGTTAGTTAGTTGTACCTTGCTTATAAAAAAAAAAGACAATAAACTTAAAAACTATTTTCATACTGTACACACAAGACTGAACACTACAACTAGAAAGGAACAGTTCATATTTACATAGCTTTGACTAAAATATAAGAATCGAAAGATAATTACACATTTATATTATTTTTTTTTTCACACCATAGACTAACATCCAACCAGAGGTTGTATATGCTGACCTAGACCAAGCTGATTTAAGAAAACCAGGAAATCGTGATGTAAAGCGTAATCAAAGACCACCACCACAAGCTAAAGATGTCCCATATGGTGAAGTGGATTTTGTAAAGACAGAGAGACTACGCAAATCCTAGACATTGGTAAGTAAATCTGAAGTGACTGTGTACATGTATGCAAAGGTTTGCATGTGCATCTCAGGAACGAGTTTCTTTTGCCCCCAGTGACCCCTAACCTTAACACTAACTCTCACTCAAGCCCTCCAATTCAATTGTTCATGTACCCTGTAGACAAATGTAGGTATCCTTACAGTAGTATGGGCATATATACAACTAAATTGAGGAGCGATGGAGGGTAGGAGTAGGATTAGAGTTGGGGTGGGGTGCAAAAGGAACTCCTTCCATAGCTGTAGGTTTTTGGAGCCAAATAATGCCAGCTCTATTTTAATTTTAGACTCAGCATTTTCAGAAAGACAGAATAAGAATGGATACTGTAAAAGGACTAATTATTCACTGGGTTTTAATTTTTGCTTATTCCGCAGGTTGGAAAATGCGCTAAATTAAAACCCAGTGAATATGTCAAATTTAGCATAGAACACATTATCTATTATGATAAAACCGTGAATTTAAAACCCACTGAATATGCCTGAAATGGTGAATCAGCAAAATTTAAACCCTGTGAAAATTAGTCATTTTACAGTAGATTACAATGTACGAAGAACACAATGAGGTAATTGGAGGTTAAGTAGTGATGGCACTTTTAAAAATGATTGTGAAAACTTATAAATTCTAGATTGAAGTGATCCCAATGTGGCTAAAAATGTAGATCAATGGAAGAAGGAATCAACGAATATAGGAATTAGACAAATTATGTCTGGATTAAATTTATCAGATTAATTCGATACAGAGTGGCTGATATAAAAAGGAATTATGATTTAAATTTAAAACAAAAAAATATAATTTATGTAAAAATGAGATAAATGACAAGATCAGGTCACTTTACCTTGCCAAAATACAATAAAAAAATGGAAAAAAAGCAGTCAAATGAGTTTATCAGACATGAATATTCAGAAAAATCCATAAAAATACACACTAAAAAATCCTTGCAAGAGAAACTTATTTTGAAATTAAAAAACCATCACAAACATTTTAAACATTTTAAGGTGCTTTGAGCATCATTACATATCATGAGAACGTACCCTGGCCAGTTTTTCCACTAATATAAAAAATTTGATAGTTGACAGGGCCTGCAAGATGAATAAGTTGTTGGCCCTGCTTGAATATTGTTGGCAAACCAAAAAATACATGAACACAAAACAGAGATAGATGCATGCTGAGGTAATTATCTAATTTTGGTGACATGCAAAGAAATTTGTAGCCATAAATGTTTATCTTGCACAGTATTTGACATTTTTACGGTCATCAACAGACTCAATGATCAGGCTTGTCAGGCTAGCATATTCTTAAACTTGTCAGCCCTACTGTCAAGGCTCTAAACCCAGGGGTCTGCTCAGTTTTGAACACTGATCACGGCCACTGCCATGAGTTAGGAGCATTACCAGTATAACACAAAAAACGTATCAGCAATACATCAAAGTTCTCTGTTGTTAATAAATGGTTTTGTCAGCAGCACTATACTGGACTATGATGCTGTCGATGGAAAACCAGTGAAATTTAAAGCACGGTAGTCGTCACACTGCGCATGTTCGACATTTGTGTTGATAAACATTTATTTTCCCACAATCCAATGCGCTCTTCATATGGAAATCACAAGTATGAGGTTTGACCTGGGTGCGACTTGCACTGATTACCGTCGGTGACTCCTTCGATACCTAAATTACCTAATTAAAGCTTGGAAACGCCTCAGTTCATACTCGTTGATCTGTGCAACAGTCAAAGTCGCCATCTTTGTTTATATGAGACCCATACATGTATATCTTGCACATGCACAGCGCGACGACTACCGCACTTTAAATGTATAAACACCACTAAAATGCTGGGTTCTGTACAATTACAGAAATGTACAACAAGTGAGCAACATATAGCCAACTCAAGTTTGCATTGAAAACACCAGTCACAAAATCACCAGCTACAGATGATTCTACAACATTACTGTGGGAAACATGTATTCCATAATGTCTCATGTAATAGATACATTTTTGAGCTAAAAAATTGACAATTCTAGTTAAATAAAATCTCAAGACGATAAACAGAATTCTTCCAACTTTGATGAAAAATTTAGCATTTCAAACACCATGAGTGCATTATGGGTACAACAAAAACTGCACATGTACAAAAGATGCTGGAAACACACACAAAAATGCTCCAAGAAAGAAAGAAACTGGGCTAAATTGAGAGTTTCAGAGCTA